AAGTGTCACCGAGTCAAAGAATCTGTGCACCTTAGTGCCAACCGATTATCAATTGTGTAGGAAAATGAAAATCAAATTTCATTTTAAATTTTCGCTTTTCTTTTCGCTGTAAAATAACGAAATTGGACTTCTGTTATCGTTTGTCATTTTTTCCCCGCCGGGAAGGAAACGGCATTCCAATGCTCTTAATACTCTCCATTTTCCCTTTTTGTAGCTCTTAAGAAACGGATTTAAATCTTTTCTTTTTTTTCTTTTTCGTTTTCGTATGGAATTTCCAGAATAGAAATGAATCTTCCTTATGCGACGTTTGTAGTGCTGAATGTGGACCAATAAGTTGGGCGCGGTGGTAACCCGCTTGAATTAACGACAGAAACAGGGTAACCACGTTTATCGAAAAACTGGCACATTGACTCTGATTTTTGGTGCAAATCAGAGTCATCACTGTAAAAACAAAAAATACTAGTCTCTGCGGAGTTCTATTGTTATCGCTATTGTTTTCATTGAACAAAGACTGAATGCATAATTATTGTATGGGGTTATATCCTACTCTTGCTGAAACCACTTCTAAAGGTAAAATTTTGTATAATTATAGCCTGGAAAATTCCTTATGATTTTAACAAAGTTTTTTTGTTACTGCTGCGTTGATATTACTTGCGAATATGGCCGTTGTCACAACATAAACCAGCAATTTGCATATACTAGACTATCGAAGATGGCCAGATTCCCTTGACTTTTTAGCCTCAGGAAAAAAATATATGTAAGTTGAATAGCCCATTTCCGAATTACCCTTGGCCTCTTTTTCAAAACGAGGCCTGGTGCTGAACCATTTTCGTGGAAATGAGTTTTAATTTGCATCTGAATGAAAACTTCTTATCATATGAAAGGATGAGCACCAAGACTCGTTTTGAAAATGAGGCCAAGGGTAATTCGGAAATAGGCTATTTGAAAGAGAACCGTTTCGAAGCTTTTGTATGATATAAGAGGGAATTCGAGTGTTTTGGTAATGTTTTTCTTAATGTGACGTGCAAGTCACGTTGGTCACGTAATGCGCTTCTTGAGCTCAAATACGCTTATATAAATCCCTCTAAAAATTCGTAGTTTAAGTAGTCCAAAAATTTTATCGCAGTTTCTGAAAGAAAAACCTTGTTTTTGACAATGGTTACTGTCTCAGTTTCTGGAGTCATGTAACAATGGCCGATTTGAGTCGCCAAAGTTTAGCTATGTTTTAATGGATGGAATTTTACTTGAATTAGAATATTCGTAAACAATTCGTTTTTGGGGAATCCTAGAAAAAACACTTTAGAGCCTTTGAAAAACATCCCTTGTTTTAGAATTATGTGGTAATCGAATTGCTGGCGAAATAAGTTTTTTTTCGGCCGTTACCGCACCTTGAGGTGCACTATTTCACCGGGAACCGCCTGACCTCCAAAACAAACGTCATTTGTCATAATTTTGAGGGAACAGAGTATGCAACAGGAAACCTTTCCCGAGAAATAGAGGTTCATAGTTGACAAAATAAAAAGAAATAAAATAATAACAAAGATATATACATATTGAAAGAGGTGAGAAATTCTCGGGAAATATTAAGATAAAAAAAAATTTAAAAAAAAAAAAAAGACAGGCTTAGTGCAGGCGTCTCACAAGGGTGAATGAAGCGTGCAATCGTTTATTAAACTTGCCATGTTTGATTTAGAGTAAGAGTCAACGGTGGGAAAAGGGGCAGGGAAAGGCGAAAAATATCCATTGCCCCACTACCTCCCCTCTCTTTTTTGACGGCCGCTCGCTCGCTCGCCCTCTTTTGTGTCAATTTGTTTCTCTGCCTAGCCTTCCGTTGCGGTGAAAATCAAAGGTGGCAGCTACAATTTTTGCCCAGAAAACGCTGAGCACTCGCCAGCCAAAACTACGTCTGTTCTGCTAGCTAAATAAAAGGCAACGCTGAGAGCATATTCCGTTGTTCTTACTTCACCCTTTCCGACACCTGATTTCTGGGTTCTGATTTTGTTTCCTGCTATGCACCGCTGACTTCATTACAGTGCGGCCGCAATGTTTAGGTCTTGTCGAGTGTCACGAAGTGTAACAAGTAAAGAAACACAGCATACTAAAACTGCAATTTTTTCTCTCGGAATGTCTTATTTGCACAGTAACTGGAGGGATCTTGACGTAAGTGAAAACTGTTGGGGGAAAGAGTACCATATAACCCCTACATTAATTATGCATTCAATTTCATTAATTATGTATGCACCCCATTGTTTGTAAGACAATGACTTATTCCCACGGGTTTAGCATATATACATTAGTAATAAGTACTTACTGCTTCAATAAAAGAGAAATTGATTGAAAGCGGTTTTTTCGTCTCCATTCCTTTCTCACGTTCTTCTCCCTTCTCCCCTTCGTTCCTAACTTCTTCTCGGTTTTGTTTTTTTCTTTCCTTTCCTTTTTACCTTCTTGGCAGTTCTGCTGAGCCTTGAACCATCGCTCCTCAGACAACGCGTTATTATCAGACAATTATCAAACCATAGCCTTACCACTATGCTACGCAAACCAGTTAGGAGTTCCTCTCCAAAAGCTACATTTTCTTTTACCTTTCAGTAAAAAAATTTTCATAACAATATGTGCATTGATATAATGCACCAAAGGTCCCCTTTGCACTAAAGAATGCATTTCTTCTTCTCTACGATTGGCCAAATACCACATAGAAAACAAAATTTATTCATACCTCTTTCTAATAACATCAACGAAAGAAGAAGATAGAAGGAAGAAGAACAACAACAACTCGGAGATGGGGAGACTCTTAA